GCCATCTTCTCACTATGTCCTCACACTGCCTTTTCTGCATGGAAACAGAAAGCGAGCTCTCTGGTGTCTCTTCTGGTAAGGACAGTAATCCTACTGAATCAGGGCCTATTGGTATGGAGCTCATTTAACCTTAATTGTGTTCTTAGAGGCCCCATCTCCAAAAACAGCTACACTGGGGGTTAGGGTTTCAATATATGAATTCTGGAGAGACACAAATATCAGTGCACAACAATACAAATAAATATAAAATCTTTGTTTATTTCTGCATTTTGTCGAATTGTTGGAGTCTTGCATTTTTGCTCTTAATATTTCGTTTCTATAATCCACTGACATGGCATATAATTGTTCTGCAATATTCTTTATGTAAAAATACCAAAATTTAGTTGTTGTTGGACTTTTTCCCATTTTTTTTTTTACTATTATGAACAATGTTGCTATGGGCCTTTTTATTTATGTCTTCAGTTGTACATGTGCAAAACCTCTTTAGAATATAAACCTGAGAGTGGAATTGCATGACCCAAGGCAATGAACATTTTCAACTGCAAAATATAATGCCATATTGTTTCTCTATTAGAAATGAATATGACTTCCAACTAATACAGATTATTGTCAAAAAAATACAGCTTCTAACTTAAATTTTCCAATCTATTAATATAACATGGAGCCTTATTGAGATTTTATTTGTCTTTCCCTGCTTATTACCGGTTGACCAGTAATAATTTTTATATGATTATTAGGTCATTTGAGTTTCTTTTCTCTGAAATACCTATTAATCTCATTTTGCCTATTTTTCAATTTTGTTGTGTATGCATATCCAAGTGTATTTTTGTTATTAAATTGTAAGCTATTGCAGGGACAGGTTTTGAATAGGCTTTGGAATGATGGTTGGGGCTATAACAGCAGAGGCTAAACATGAAGATCTTCTAGGAAATGGTATCTGGTACCTGGGGAAGTAGTAATGTCATTTCTTGATTCAAAGAGATACATTTTCTCATACTGTTTAATCAAATAATAAAGGGATGATTAGGTGCATGTGTGTTGATGGTTTGTAATTAGTATTAGGGTGGTGAATATGATGTAATCTATGCAGAAGTAGAAGTATATGATGTACCCCTGAAATTTATACAATGTTATAAGCCAATGTTACTGCAATAAAAAAATAAGAAAATGAAAAAGAAATCCTGCAGTGTCACAGATTTTATGTTTATCTCCATGCATGTAGGAAAAGAGGGAGGTGACAATGATGTTCTTCTGGTTTGAGAATGAAGTCTTGTTGACTCTTGACCTTTAGGAACACAGGCAGGTAAATTGTAGTATTATAATGAGGGCAACAGATTATCAACCATGATCCACAGGACCTAGAATCCATTTATGAAATCTAAATACCTTACAAGACTCATCATTCAAACAGCAGTTCCAAGTATTGATTGATTTAACACTAACAGATTAATAGCACATGAATATTCACACATCTTTGTCTCCAATAAAAACACATGATATTCATTTTCTACCTGGCTTTGAAGAAATGGAGCTGGAGATGTAGGCAATAAATTTGGAATCAATTTTGTAAGGGGTTTAGTGGAAACATCTCTCGAATGGTTAATCTATGACATCATGATAAACTTGCACCAAGAGAATGCTGACTCCATAGCCCTTGGGCAGGAGAATAAGATTTATAGAAACTGTAGTCCATTTCCCAGGGTCCATTTATGGTGATGGGATATAAAGTCCTTCAATCTTTTATTCAGAGAGTGAAAGTATTAGAGTGTTTCTGGTGTTCTTGAAATAGCAAGTCGTTCAGAAACAAGAGACTTTGGTTAACACACTCAAGCTCCAGTTTGGTTTGTTATGAACTCTGAGTCACATTTTCTCCAAGGTCAACAGAGAAGGCAAAAAGCTCTGGGAATCACCAAGTTCCTAGTAGCTGCTTTATGGTTATTACCATTATTCCTCCTGAACGTGAACTCTCTTGTTGCCTGCTATCAACAAAGAGCTCTTCCCTCGAGGGAACCAAAGGCAATGAAGCAATTATTTCCTGTTTGTCTCTAATTTGGAGCTGCGGGTAGAGAGCCCCACCACCCATCCTCTCATGATTTGTAAAGTTAGAACCCATGCCCATCACTCAGGAGTTGTAAACAAGTGCGTGTCCATATATCTATCTTGTTTGGTTTTGAACTGATAGTTTTTCTTCCTCATGCAATGCATGTTTGTGAGACCCTTAAGGACTCCACCTGCTTCATTGTATCCTGTGTCTTCTAGATAGAAATGGAAAAGCCTTCCTTGGCCTTGTAGCTGAAGGTATATGTGCTTATCAACTAAGAGGCAATGTCAGAGCAGGAGTAGAATTCATATTCAGTAGTGTCATTGCATGTGTTTATGTGTTTATGTCTGTGTGTGTGTGTGTGTGTGTGTGTGTGTGTCCAGTTTGTGCTACTGATCCATAACACAGCTCTACCAATCCTCACACCAGGGTATAGCAGACTGCTCCATGTAGAATAACTTACCTCAAACTGATCCTCTGCCTAATTTTTGAGAGAATAGGGAAAAACATATCTCCTCTTGCTTGTTTCTTACCTTCCATTAAGTCTTGTTGGTTTTCCTCCAAATTTTATCCCAAACTGTAACTATATTCATCTCTGCTTCCATGATCCAGATGTAAGCAGGTATTATTTTGCACCTGAACTACTGCAATGGCCTCCAGTTAAATTTCTGCTGACACTCTTGCCTTGTTATAATCTGTTCTTTTCCCAGTAGAAAACAGAAAAAAAAAATTCCTTCACTCCTTTCCTAAAACCTTTGCATGGGTGTTCTATTGGTCTGAGAATAGAATCAAAACTTTTCACTACAGCAGAAAAAATCTTACATAATCTGGCTCCTAGATAATTCACCAACCCCATAACTTTCCCATTCTGACTATGCTCCTGAATTTTCTCCTCAACACCACAGTCCTGTCATCTGCAAACAAACAGAATGCCCACTTTTATAATCTTTACACGACAGGCTCTTATTATGCCGGACTCATTGTAAAGAATGAATAGGAACAGACTTCCTCACTACCTTGGCCTCTTGTAATTTGACAGTGTCTATCACAATTGTGAATGTATATATCCTCCAATTCAATTTCTAGATATATATATATGCTGCTGTGAAAGATTGCCTATGAACAATATTATTAATGAACTATTACTTGAAATAGAAGGATATCAGAAACAACCTAAATGTCTGTAAATAGCTAGTTAGTACTTTCATTGTGATAACCTGATTATTATTAACATGGTAATGACTAGCAACACTGATTGCGTAATTCTTCTCAGGTAACAATATTAAATTAACAGGATTTTTAACGGAGTGGACTGAAGAAGGTAGGAATTGTAAAGATACTTTCAGTAAAATTGGGAGAATTGGTACATAATATATAAACTTCAGTTAACTCCCAAGAAGAATGATGATTCCTGCAGTGAGATAGTTTCTCAGCTATCAAAGAGAAAGACCTTCAGACGAATGTCTTTACAGAGTTTGTGGATTCTATCTTTTAGTAGATAAACGATCATGTTCTCTTTCCCTATCATTTTGTGAGTGTCCCCATGGCAAGTCTAAGATTAAATGACCTGAAGAAGAAAGAGAGAGAAATGATAGTATTAGCAAAGTATAAGAAGTGTTAGAATATGACAAGAAAAATACCAATTACGAATCACTGGCGTAAACCCTAGGTTAGGAACTGTGAAAAAGGAAATGTTATTTGGCAACATCTGGACAGACATTTACAAAGAGGTTATTCTTTGACAGATCCAGGATATGACTGGAAAAGCAAAAGTATTTCCTGGTGTTCTGAGAACTTGAATAAGAATGATCTGTTTAGAACTGAGGGAATAAGGTGGGAATCTGGAAGAGAAGCAGACTTTTTCTCCACATTCCATGAAAATTCCTTTAGAAAGAGTGGTAGTAGACTGAAAATGTTGAGGAGTGGGAAGGAATTTTCCAAAAGGAAGGACTGAATGCTATGTTACAAGGTATGTCACTAGATCTTTTATGTTACTGACACAGATTCTTGTCCTTAACACTGTTGCCTTAATCAGTTACATATGTTTCCACCAAGGCTGCAATTTCTGATTTCTGGGAGATCCAAAGCAGCCCACTGGGTTGTCTTACCTTGATCAAATCCATTGAAATAAAGCATTAGCTAAAACTTTGTGAGAGGCATGAGGACGATTAAGAAAGGCCAGCAGACCAACTGCGGAGCCTCTATTAGAGTTTCTAATAACTGGTTACTGAACTAGCCTTGCACCATAATTTCCTAATCTCAGATTTCTGCAATGAACACCTGGACTCCTCGAGTTTGAACCTGAGCTGATCTCGTCACCATTCTGACATTTCATGGTTTCTCCAAAAGAGATTGTTTTGGTTCCTAGGTGGGTGCATAATAACCTGATGTCAGGTCAGGTTTTTAAGCAGCTTTTAGCCTGTAAATGTGGCAAAAAGAATGAAATATTCAGGTTAAAATTCGTTTACTGACTAGTCAAAAACCAGGTTTCCATTATGTGATAGTCATAATGATTTCTCCTACTTTCACATTTCTAACTCGTTTTTTGATCTCCAGCAAAAGGGAAAAACATGAGGAGGGATAACCAGAGCAGTGTGTCTGAATTCCTCCTCCTGGGGCTCCCCATCTGGACAGAGAAGCAAGGCATATACTACACTCTTTTTCTGGTCATGTACCTGACCACAGTGCTGGGGAACCTGCTCATCATCCTGCT